TTCCCCAGGGTCCCCTCCATGTCCCCAGGGTCCCCCCAGTGTCCCCAAGGTCACCGTCAGCGCAGGTGGCACCCCCTGGGTCCCCTCGGTGTCCCCAGGGCCCCCTTGATGTCCTCAGGGTCCCCTTGATGTCCCCAGGGTCCCCTCACTGTCCCCAAGGTCACTGTCACTGCAGGTGGCCACGAGGGTCCCCACTGTCCCCTCAGTGTCCCCACTGTCCACCCCCAAGGTGCCACCACCCCTTGGGGACCATCACCTGGTGCCACCACCCTGGGAGTGTCACCCTGGTGCCACCACCCCTGTGAGTGTCACCAAGGTGCCACCACCCTTGGGGACCATCCCCTGGTGCCACCACCCTGGGAGTGTCACCCTGGTGCCACCACTCCCTGGGTGTCACCAGTGCCACCACCCTGGGGACTCACCCTGGTGCCACCACCCCTGGGGACCATCCCTGGTGCCACCACTCCTGGGAGTGTCACCCTGGTGCCACCACCCTTGGGGACCATCCCCTGGTGCCACCACCCCTAGGGGACCATCCCCTGGTGCCACCACCCCTTGGGGACCATCCCCTGGTGCCACCACCCTTGGGGACCATCACTTGGTGCCACCACCCCTGGGAGTGTCACCCTGGTGCCACCACCCCTTGGGGACCATCACCTGGTGCCACCACCCCTGGGAGTGCCACCCCTGTGCCACCACCCCTTGGGGACCATCACCCTGGTGCCACCACCCCTTGGGGACCATCCCCTGGTGCCACCACCCCTGGGAGTGTCACCCTGGTGCCACCACCCTTGGGGACCATCACCTGGTGCCACCACCCCTTGGGGACCATCCCCTGGTGCCACCACCCCTTGGGGACCATCCCCTGGTGCCACCACCCTTGGGGACCATCCCCTGGTGCCACCACCCCTGGGAGTGTCACCCTGGTGCCACCACCCCTTGGGGACCATCCCCTGGTGCCACCACCCCTGGGAGTGTCACCCTGGTGCCACCACCCTTGGTGGACCGTCGCCTGGTGCCACCACCCCTTGGGGACCGTCCCCTGGTGCCACCACCCCTTGGGGACCATCCCCTGGTGCCACCACCCCTTGGGGACCATCCCCCAGTGCCACCACCCCTTGGGGACCATCCCCTGGTGCCACCACCCCTGGGAGTGTCACCCTGGTGCCACCACCCCTGGGAGTGTCACCCTGGTGCCACCCCCCTTGGGGACCATCCCCCAGTGCCACCACCCCTTGGGGACCATCCCCTGGTGCCACCACCCCTGGGAGTGTCACCCGGTGCCACCACCCCTAGGGGACCATCACCCTGGTGCCACCACCCCTTGGGGACCATCACCTGGTGCCACCACCCTTGGGGACCATCACCTGGTGCCACCACCCCTGGGAGTGTCACCAAGGTGCCACCACCCCTTGGGGACCATCACCCTGGTGCCACCACCCCTGGGAGTGTCACCCTGGTGCCACCACCCCTTGGGGACCATCACCCGGTGCCACCACCCTTGGGGACCGTCACCTGGTGCCACCACCCCTTGGGGACCATGACCAAGGTGCCACCACCCCTGGGAGTGTCACCAAGGTGCCACCACCCTTGGGACCATCCCCTGGTGCCACCACCCCTGGGAGTGTCACCCTGGTGCCACCACCCTTGGGGACCATCCCCCAGTGCCACCACCCCTTGGGGACCATCCCCTGGTGCCACCACCCCTGGGGACCATCACCCTGGTGCCACCACCCCTGGGAGTGTCACCCTGGTGCCACCACCCTTGGGGACCATCCCCTGGTGCCACCACCCCTTGGGAGTGTCACCCTGGTGCCACCACCCTTGGGAGTGTCACCCCAGTGCCACCACCCCTTGGGGACCATCCCCTGGTGCCACCACCCCTTGGGGACCATCCCCTGGTGCCACCACCCCTGTGAGTGTCACCCCAGTGCCACCACCCCTTGGGGACCATGACCTGGTGCCACCACCCCTTGGGGACCATCCCCTGGTGCCACCACCCCTGGGAGTGTCACCCTGGTGCCACCACCCCTTGGGGACCATCACCTGGTGCCACCACCCTTGGGGACCATCACCTGGTGCCACCACCCCTGGGAGTGTCACCCTGGTGCCACCACCCTTGGGACCATCCCCTGGTGCCACCACCCCTGGGAGTGTCACCCTGGTGCCACCACCCCTTGGGGACCATCCCCTGGTGCCACCACCCCTGGGAGTGTCACCCTGGTGCCACCACCCCTTGGGGACCATCCCCTGGTGCCACCACCCCTGGGAGTGTCACCAAGGTGCCACCACCCTTGGGGACCATCCCCTGGTGCCACCACCCTTGGGAGTGTCACCCTGGTGCCACCACCCCTTGGGGATCAATACCTGGTGCCACCACCCCTTGGGGACCATCCCCTGGTGCCACCACCCCTTGGGGACCATCACCAAGGTGCCACCACCCCTTGGGGACCCTCCCCTGGTGCCACCACCCCTGGGAGTGTCACCCTGGTGCCACCACCCCTTGGGGACCATCCCCTGGTGCCACCACCCCTTGGGGACCATCCCCTGGTGCCACCACCCCTGGGAGTGTCACCCTGGTGCCACCACCCCTTGGGGACCGTCACCTGGTGCCACCACCCTTGGGGACCATCCCCTGGTGCCACCACCCCTTGGGGACCCTCACCTGGTGCCACCACCCTTGGGGACCATCCCCTGGTGCCACCACCCCTTGGGGACCCTCACCTGGTGCCACCACCCCTTGGGGACTATCCCCTGGTGCCACCACCCTTGGGGACCGTCCCCTGGTGCCACCACCCCTTGGGGACCGTCCCCAAGGTGCCACCCCCCTCGTGTCGTGCCCACCCCGGTGCCAGGTGACGAGGACGACGAGGACGAGGCCCGCGAGGAGCGGCTGCCGTCGTGCTTCGACTACGTCATGCACTTCCTGACGGTCTTCTGGAAGGTTCTCTTCGCCTGCGTCCCCCCCACGGCGCTGCTGGGGGGCTGGGCGGCCTTCGGCGTCTCCATCCTCCTCCTCGCCCTCCTCACCGCCCTCATCGGGGACCTGGCCGCCCACTTCGGCTGCACCCTCGGCCTCAAGGACTCCGTCAACGCCGTCGTCTTCGTGGCCCTGGGGACGTCCATCCCTGGTGAGGGACATGGGGACATCATGGGATGAGGGGGTGGGACAGGGGGGATGGACCCTCGGCCTCAAGGACTCCGTCAACGCCGTCGTCTTCGTGGCCCTGGGGACCTCCATCCCTGGTGAGGGACATGGAGACATTGTGGGGACATCGTGGGGACATCGTGGGGACATCATGGGGACATCATTGGGACATGGGGACAGGGGGGATGGACCCTCGGCCTCAAGGACTCCGTCAACGCCGTCGTCTTCGTGGCCCTGGGGACGTCCATCCCTGGTGAGGGACATGGGGACACCATGGGGACATCACTGGGACATGGGGACACCATGGGGCTGTCATGGGATGAGGGGGTGGGACAGGGGGGATGCACCCTCGGCCTCAAGGACTCCGTCAACGCCGTCGTCTTCGTCGCCCTGGGGACGTCCATTCCTGGTGAGGGACACGGGGGACATCATGGGGACATCATGGGGACACCATGGGGACATTGGGGACATCATTGGGGCATTGGGGACATCGTGGGATGAGGGGGTGGGACAGGGGGGATGCACCCTCGGCCTCAAGGACTCCGTCAACGCCGTCGTCTTCGTCGCCCTGGGGACGTCCATTCCTGGTGAGGGACATTGGGGACATTGGGGACATCATGGGGACATCATGGGGACATCACTGGGACATGGGGACATCATGGGGACATCACTGGGGCATTGGGGACACCATGGGGATGTCATGGGATGAGGGGGTGGGACAGGGGGGATGGACCCTCGGCCTCAAGGACTCCGTCAACGCCGTCGTCTTCGTGGCCCTGGGGACGTCCATCCCTGGTGAGGGACATGGGGACACCATGGGGACATCACTGGGACATCATGGGGACACCATGGGGACATCACTGGGACATGGGGACATCATGGGGACATCATGGGGACATCACTGGGACATCATGGGGACATCATTGGGGCATTGGGGACATCACTGGGACATGGGGACATCATGGGATGAGGGGGTGGGACAGGGGGGATGCACCCTCGGCCTCAAGGACTCCGTCAACGCCGTCGTCTTCGTCGCCCTGGGGACGTCCATTCCTGGTGAGGGACATGGGGACATCATGGGGACATCATGGGGCATTGGGGACATGGGGACATCATGGGGACATCATTGGGGACATGGGGACATCATGGGGACATTGGGGACATGGGGACATCATGGGGATGTCATGGGATGAGGGGGTGGGACAGCAGGGATGGACCCTCGGCCTCAAGGACTCCGTCAACGCCGTCGTCTTCGTGGCCCTGGGGACGTCCATTCCTGGTGAGGGACATGGGGACACCATGGGGACATCGTGGGGACATCACTGGGACATCATTGGGGACATCATTGGGGCATTGGGGACATGGGAACATCATGGGGGACATCATTGGGGCATTGGGGACACCATGGGATGAGGGGGTGGGACAGGGGGGATGCACCCTCGGCCTCAAGGACTCCGTCAACGCCGTCGTCTTCGTGGCCCTGGGGACCTCCATTCCTGGTGAGGGACATGGGGACACCATGGGGACATCATTGGGGCATTGGGGACATCATGGGGACATCATGGGGACATCATGGGGCATTGGGGACACCATGGGGACACCATGGGATGAGGGGGTGGGACAGGGGGGATGGACCCTCGGCCTCAAGGACTCCGTCAACGCCGTCGTCTTCGTCGCCCTGTGGACGTCCATCCCTGGTGAGGGACATGGGGACATTGGGGACACCATGGGGACATTGGGGACATCACTGGGACATGGGACATCACTGGACATGGACATGGCGGGGATGGGAGGTGGGATAGGGGACAGGATGAGGGAAACGCCCCCAGGGACTCGAGGGCTCGGCCAGCGCCTCCATCGGCAACGGGAGGGGCTCCAGCGCTGGAGGCGACCCCGCGGTCCCAACGGCACCCCCGTGTCCCCAACAGTGTCCCCAATATCCCCAGTGTCCCCAAAACCCCCAGTGTCCCCAACAGTGTCCCCAACACCCTCAGTGTCCCCAATGTCCCCACAGTGTCCCCAATGTCCCCCCAGTGTCCCCAACAGTGTCCCCAACAACCCCCAGTGTCCCCAACAGCCTCAGTGTCCTCAGTGTCCCCAATGTCCCCCTAGTGTCCCCAACACCCCCAAAGTCTCTCAGTGTCCCCAGTGTCCCCAATGTCCCCAGTGTCCCCAATGTCCCCAATGTCCCCAATGTCTCTCAGTGTCCCCAATGTCCCCAGTGTCCCCAACACTCTCAATGTCCCCAACACCCTCAGTGTCCCCAATGTCCCCAGTGTCCCCAATGTCCCCAACATCCCCAATACCCCCAATGTCCCCAGTGTTGTCAATGTCCCCAATGTCCCCAATGTCCCCAATGTCCCCAAAGTCTCTCAGTGTCCCCAATGTCTCTCAGTGTCCCCAATGTCCCCAACACCCCCACTGTCCCCCCAGACACGTTTGCGAGCCGCGTGGCCGCGCTGCAGGACCCGTGCGCCGACGCCTCCATCGGGAACGTGACGGGCTCCAATGTCCCCAATGTCCCCAATGTCCCCAATGTCCCCAATGTCCCCAATGTCCCCAATGTCCCCAATGTCCCCAGTGTCCCCAGTGTCCCCAGTGTCCCCAATGTCCCCAATGTCTCTCAGTGTCCCCACTGTCCCCAACACCCCCAATGTCCCCAATGTCCCCAACACCCCCAACATCCCCAATATCCCCAATGTCCCCAGTGTCCCCAACACCCCCAATGTCCCCAAGGTCTCTCAGTGTCCCCAACACCTCCACTGTCCCCCCAGACACGTTTGCAGCCGCGTGGCCGCGCTGCAGGACCCGTGCGCCGACGCCTCCATCGGCAACGTGACGGGCTCCAGTGTCCCCAATGTCCCCCATGTCCCCAGTGTCCCCAACACCCTCCAATGTCCCTCAGTGTCCCCAATGTCCCCACTGTCCCCCCAGACACGTTTGCGAGCCGCGTGGCCGCGCTGCAGGACCCGTGCGCCGACGCCTCCATCGGGAACGTGACGGGCTCCAATGTCCCCAATGTCCCCAATGTTCTCAGTGTCCCCAATGTCCCCAATGTCCCCAGTGTCCCCAGTGCCCCCAGTGTCCCCAGTGTCTCCAATGTCCCCAATGTCCCCAA